TGCGAGAACCCAGGAAGGAACTAAAAGAGAACCAAGGGTGCAAGTGGCCATATTATGGACATGGAGGAATAGGCAAGAGAAAAATGATAAATGAGAGTAGCAAAGTGGAATTAGTCAACAATATATATTGGAAGAAGCATAGGCTGGTGTCGCAGAATCCAAGGAGAGACAGCTTCATGAAAGAGGGGGGAGCTGGGACAAAGGGTTGCAGGAGACGATCGGCATGGTAAGTGCAGTGGAGAAGTTTACCACAGAGAAGCTGAGAAAGTTCTATCCGCAACAGGGCTCATCAGCTACAACGAGGACAGAAGCAGAAGCTAGACTTCAGTACCTCAAGAAATAAATGCAAGTGAGCAAAAAGTCTGCTAGCAAAAAATGGGAATAGTATGAGAGTTACATAGATTCCAAGAGAATTTGCAGATCTGAGCAAGTTTATAACCAGAGAGAAAGGGGCCAACAAGAAGAGAGAGAATGGACAAGAAAGACCAAGATTTGTGATCCAAAAAGTTAAAAAATTCTGGCCTGATGATATTTTTTTAAAAAATTTATTTTATTTATTTGAAAGACAGAGTTAGAGAGAGAGAGAGGCAGAGACAGAGAGAGAGAGGTCTTCCATCTGCTGGTTCACTCCCCAGATGGCTGCAACGGCAGGAGCTGCGCCAATCCGAAGCCAGGAGCCAGGATCTCCCATGCAGGTGCAGGGGCCTAACGACTTGGGCCATCCTCCAATGCTCTTCCAGGCCATAGCAGAGAGCTGGGTCAGAAGTGGAGCAGCCAGAACTAGAACCGGCACCCACATGGGATGCCGGCACTCCAGGTCAGGGCTTTAACCCATTGTGCCACAGTGCCGGACCCTGGCCTGATAGTATTAAAAATACAAATTATTAAGATAAGACTGCTGAAACAGCAACTTCCTAAAAAACAATCATTTAAACTCAGGAGGGCCGGCGCTGTGGCTTAATAGGGTTCTAGTCCCGGTCGGGGCACCGGATTCTGTCCTGGTTGCCCCTCTTCCAGGCCAGCTCTCTGCTGTGGCCAGGGAGTACAGTGGAGGATGGCCCAAGTGCTTGGGCCCTGCACCCCATGGGAGACCAGGAAAAGCACCTGGCTCCTGGCTCCTGCCATTGGATCAGCGCAGTGCGCCAGCCGCAGCGCGCCGGCCGTCGCGGCCATTGGAGGGTGAACCAACGGCAAAGGAAGACCTTTCTCTCTGTCTCTCTCTCTCTCTCTCTGTCCACTCTGTCAAAAAATAAAAAAATAAATAAATAAAATAAACTAAGGAGAATTCTGTAGAAGTCCAGTTAACCCTTTCTTATATCTCATATCTTGACAGTGTAGAGGGCACTGCCTTTTTCGTATTGTTGCCTCACTATGTTTTAGTTTGGGGTTAGTAAGCTGGCTTGAAGGCCTAATTCAGTCCACCTCCTCTTTTTTGAAAATAAAATTTTATTGGAACACAACCACACCCATTTGTTTATATATTATCGATGGTGTATTCCCCCTGCATCAGCAGAATAGAGAAGCTGTGAAGAGAGCCATCTGCAGAGGAAATCTGGCATTCCCTGTTCTAGGGTGATTCCTCTGCCACAGAGTCAAAAAGCACAGCACTATGTCTACTGGATCTACATTGCGGTCCAAAGGAAAGGGAAAACGAGAAGGTGAGGGACACCTGTGTCGTGTAAGAGAATGACTTGAAATTGTACAAATGGCAGTTGACCTACTGCCATTGGAAAATGAAAATTGTGGCAAAGGAGGCTAGGTAATGTGCTTAGCTGAAATTTGGGGGACCAAAAGCAAGAGAATAGATATTGGGATAGATTAGCAATTTCTACCACAATTCTTTTCTAGTTGATATGTCAATTGGATTATTGGGTGGGAACATGTACTCTAAACATGTAAAAGAAAAGATGTGCCTCTCTCTCTCTCTGCCTCTCCTTCTCCCTCTGAGTAACTCTGATTTTCAAATAAATAAATCTTTTTAAAAGGGGGGGGGGCAGTACTGTGGCATAGCAGGTAATTCAACATCCCCAATCATCAGATGCAAATAAAAATCACAATGAAAAGTCACTTAACTCTAGTCCTCCTAGAAAACAACAACAAAAAATAACGAGGGCTGGCATTGTGTCCCAGTGGTTTCAGCCACCACTTGTAACACTGGTGTCCGGTATCACAGCGCCTGAGAGTGCCAGTTGCTCTGCTTCTGATCCAGGTTCTTACTAACGTGCCTGAGAAAGCAGCAGATAATGGACCAAGTGCTTGGGACCCTGGCATCCATGTGGGAGGATGGACAAAGAGAATTCTTATACACTGTTGTTAGTAATGTAAATTAGTACAGCCACTATGGAAAACTAAAAATAGTACCATCATGTAAGCCAGCAATCCCACTACTGGGTGTATATCCACAGTCAAGATCAGTCCGGCAAAGACACATCTTCACTCAGTTTTACCGCAGCACTAGTCACAATGCCCAAGATACAGAATCAACCTAGACATTCACTGATGGATGAATGGATAAAGAAAATGTGGTGTATGTACATAATAGAATACCACATAGCCATATAAAAAGACTAAAACCCTGTAATTTGTGACAACACGATGAGGCTAGAGAACATTATGTTACATGAAATCAGCTAAGTACTGAAAGAAATACCACATTTCCCACTCATATGTGGAAGCTTAAACACCTGATATCATCAAAGCAGAGAACAGAAGAACAACTGCCAAAGGTTAGGACGGTGGAGGGAGGAAGAAATATGGAAGGATTGGCTAACGGGTCCAGCAATACAGGTGGATAGGAGGATGAAGTTCTCGTGTTCTACAACACAGTAGAGTCACCATACTTGATAAGAATTTATTGTATATTTCAAAATAGCTGGAACAGAGGATTCTGAGTGTTCCCAGCATAACCAAATGATAAATGTTTGAGGTGATGGATATGCTAATTATTATGATTTGATCATTGTACATTGTATATATGTGTTCAAATATACAATGCACTCTGTGAATCTATATATAATTATATCAATTACAATTTTTTCAAAAGATAACAGAAAATTTAGTACTTTGCACAATATGCCCAGCTCATTGAACTGGCTTTAAAATTTATATCTAGTTCTCTCTTTCTTTCTTTCTTTCTTTCTTTCTTTCTTTCTTTCTTTCTTTCTTTCTTTCTTTCTTTCTTTCTTTCTTTCTTTCTTTCTTTCTTTCTTTCTATTAGGCAGAGTTAGACAGTGACAGAGACAGAGAGAAAGGTCTTCCTTCCGTTGGTTCACCCCCACAAATGGCTGCTACAGCCAGCGCGCTGTGCTGATCTGAAGCCAGGAGCCAGGTGCTTCCTCCTGGTCTCCCACGCGGGTGCAGGGCCCAAGCACGTGGGCCATCCTCCACTGCACTCCTGGGCCACAGCAGAGAGCTGGACTGGAAGAGGAGCAACCCGGACAGAATCCAGCACCCAGCCCAGGGTGCCGGTTCCGCAGGTGGAGAATTAGCCTAGTGAGCCGTGGCGCTGGCCCCCAACATCTTTTTTGATGAAACACAGTTGAACACTTAGGCCACCTACTATGCTGATTCTTGATGCATTTATTGCTTAGGTGCTAAGAATAACAGTTGACGTGCCATATAAGAGCTGTGAGTATTTAGCACTGGTCAATATGTTTTACTGACCGAAAATAAAATGCAAGTCAGTAACAGTAGTCAATAAAGACAACTCACTGTAGATAACAGAGGAAACTGAAGGGGGTAGAGACGTAAGTGATGAAAGAGTTGAGTCGTTTCTCTGGTAGGCAATTTGAATTTTACTTTAGATATTTTATTTTAGACTGCTGCTTCCTTTTCTGGGAAGCTGGCAGATTTTCCTGAGCTGTCTCCCTGGGAAGGGAGTTCTCCCAAGTCTTTTTTTTTTTTTTTTTTTAAGATTTTACTTTATTTGAAAAGCAGAGTTACAGAGAGGCAGAGGCAGAGAGAGAGAATCTTTCATCCGCTGGTTCACTCCCCGCAAAATGGCCTGAGTCCATCCGAAGCCAGGAGCCAGGAGCTTCTTCTGGGTCTCCCACGTGGGTGCAGGGTCCCAAGGACTTGGGCCATCCTCCGCTGCTTTCCCAGGCCATAGCAGAGAGCTGGATGGGATGTGGAGCAGCCAGGAAAGGGATGCCTGTGGTGCAGCAGTCTGGAACTTTAACCCATTGTGCCGCAGCTCCAGCCCCTCTCCCAAGTCTTAAAGAGAACTAGATCCATCCCTCCCACAGGCACAGGGTTTTCTCTGCTGCAATGGAGAGTACTGTAACCCTTCCCCAGCAGTGTGAACGATGGTATATTTCTGATGTTTCAAGTCCCTCCTATATCTACAAACATGGTCATATTTGCATTTATTGCCCATTGTTTCCTGGGTCATCACTGCTACCTACACATGCAGGTGGCTTCTCTGATCGGCTCACAAACAGGCCAGTGCGTGTTGGGTACGGCACTCTCCTGCTTCTGCCTCTCCTGCTTTCAAAGCTACCGCGTCCTGGAGACTCTGGCTTCCGGAACTCTCTCGAACACATTTTCCCAGCGCCTTGCACCAGTGCTCACAGTGTATAAACAATGTTGTTTTTACCAGCCTGGCACTGAGTCCCCAAACAGTCCTGTGGTTCCTTGCTGTCTGCTCAAGGTTGCAGGAGGAGTAACAGAGGCAGCCCCTCAGCTGCCCAGGTGGGCACTGGGTGGGGCACATCTGGGTCTCACAGTCACCAGGCCCTTTGTAACCTCGGGGATGGCAGGACAGGCTCGAATAAGGATGGCAGGGATCCATGCTCAAAGTCTTGTCTCCCCACAGGACAGATCTCCACCAGATCAGGGGGCAAGTCCGCAGGCTCCATCGGCCAGCACTGGCCTGGGGACAGAGGCTTTTGGGCTGTACCAAGTGTTGGGTGTCCCAGGAGCACACCAGGTTCCTAGCCCTAAGACAAGGTCCTAAATATCCTCTTTTGCCCTAATACCGGTCTCTCCACTCATCACATTACACAAAGCACGCAAATATGCGCCGAGACCTGTTCAGTCTGCTGGGGTCACTCACCAAGAAGAGTCCCAGCAAGCTGCACGCGGTAGGAGGGAGGCGGACTGAGGGCTGTGACTCCCACGCCGGGCAAGACACAGCCAGGGGCCCGGCCCTCCACAAGTCGGGCGCAGGGGCCCGGGGGACTCTGCCCCTCGGTTCCGCGTGCAGAGAACACGGCAGAGGCGCGGCTGCAGCCCGCCGGGCACAGACTCCCCTCCACCCTGCTCCCGGCCGGGCAGCCAATCGGAGCCGCGCGCTGCCGCCGGGATCCGCGGATCGGCTTCGGAGGCGGCGGCGGCGACGCCCGGGACGGAGCGGAGAGCTGGAGCTTAGCGCCCCGCATCAGGTAAGGCGCGCACGGGAGCGCCGCGGCCGCGGCCGCGCCGGGAAACGGGGGTCGGCGCGGCTGTCCTGAGCGCCCGGGCCGCGGCTAAGAAACGGACGCCAGCGCCGGGCCCAGCGCTCGCCCTGAGGGCCCCGGACGCCGCCTGGGCGCCGCCGGCCTCGCCCTGCCCTGCCCAGCCCAGCCCAGCCCAGCCCAGCCCAGCCCAGCGTGGTCCCGCAACGGGGACGCGGTCGGGGGGCTCCGCCGGCCGGCAGCGCGGCGTGCTCTTCGCGGAGAGGCTTTCCTGAATAGACAAGAGCAGATCATTAAAAAGAAAAAAAAAAGCAAAAAGCAAGTGTACATTTCATTTAAAAGTATGTGTGGTTTCGGTTTGTACGCAGACCTAAGCGAGCTGGTGCCGGGGCCGTGCCGCGCGCTGCCCGGGCGGCGGGCCTGGAGCCCTGGTCCCGCCGCGGCGTCCCCGGAACCTGCCCTGAGCGCCGGGCTGGGCTCTGCCCCGCGCGCTCGAACCGGCGCTTCCCCGCCCTCGGAGTATAAAGTTCTGTACAGGTTCCTCAGTACGCGAACTGCTTCCAAATAAGACGGATGAGTTTCATTGTCTCCAGGTTCAGTAAATGAGATGGAGGCCTCATACTTCGATTCAGCTTGGAATCCTGTTCTTATTATTCTTTTTATTATTATTATGTAACATTATTTGTTAAGAGTGCGACCCTGGACATGCTGACTAACCTCTTGGCGCCTTAGTTTTCCCATCTATAGAAGTAGCGATAATCAGAGGCCAGCGTTGTGGCCTGTGGGTAGAGCTACCGCCTGTAACACGGAAGACGCCCGGGATCCCTATGGGTGTCCATTGGTGTCCCCGGCTGCTCCACTTCCAATCCAGCTCCCTGCTAATGGCCGGGGAAAGCAGTGGAAGATGGCCCAAGTGCTTGGGCCCCTGACACCCATGTGGGAGACCTGGATGAAGCTCCAGGCTCCTGGTTTTAGTCTGGCCCAACCCTGGCTGTTGTGGTCATTTGGGGAGTGAACCAGAGGATGGAAGGTCTCTCTCTCTTCTCTCTCCTCTCTCCTCTCTGTAATTCTGACTTTCAAATAAATAAAACTTAAAAAAAAAAAAAACAAAGGAGTAGGGGTAGTCACTTACTTGGTAGGATGATCGTAAATAAATGACTTAGTCAAAGCAAAGTTTACAGCAGAGGTTTCAGGGTGGTAAGGGTTCAGTGGATGTTAACTACCATGACCACCTGCAGACAAGCAGGACTGTGCCTGGAGTTTTCTCTATACTTTCCATAGCATTTCATTTCCATAGATTGTTTCCAAGCAGCTTCTTGAAATTATTGACATGAAAAGTATTTACATGTTGCTAATTTTCGTCCCAAAAGATTGTGTTGATAAATATGCAGATCCTTTCATTACACACACACACACACACACACAGAAGTCAAACAGTAGACAAGGTATTATAAGGGACACTCTGTGTGAGAGGAAGGAGTCTGTAATTGTACTGGAACTTTTGATGATAATTGTCATTATTCCCCCGTATTTCATACATTTTAATTGCTCTTTTTTCTTTGTACTCCCCAGTCCATCTCATTGAAGTCAAAGATTTACCACTTCAAGCTACTTTTTTTTTTTTTGTATATTTCCAATATCTTTACTGACAGTGAATTAAGGTAGTTTACTTGCTGGCAGTTCTAGAAGGTTCTCAGATGGCTTCAAATTCTCATGTCTCAGAACAGCATCCCTATTTGAAATCCTGCAACCATTCGCTGGCCATTTCTGAAGAAAAACATGTGAAAAGTATGTAAACCATACCTTCATCTTTTTCACAATGATAAAGTACAGAAACAATTCATTTGACATTTTATAAATTGTTAAAGTTATGCACCTACAAATAAAATGAAAAATTCTCACACTGAACCTTGGAACACACTGGGCTGGAACATAAGAGCATCCAAATGAATTCAAAGGTTCTTTTGTCTCCAAGATTGGCTGTGTCTACTAATTTCTATCATTGTTCTTTTTTTTTTTTTGAGACCCTGTCTCGGGTTTATTTGTACAAACAGCACAGGAGGACACTAGCCCCACGCAGACAGCAGTCCAGGGGTCACACCAGTCCTTCTGCCCTTCAATTGGCAGGCAAAGGCTGTTACTAGGGAGCCTTTGCGGGGGGCTGGGCACCTTTGGGAGGAGCCTGAGCCGGAACTGGGGCTGCAGGTGTGGCCTGGGCCTTGGGCTTGGTTTGGGCCTGAGCCTTGGGTTTGGCTTGGGCCTGGGCCTTGGGCTTGGTTTCGGCTTGGGCCTTGGGCTTGGTTTCAGCCTGGGCCTTGCCTTTGCCCTTGCTCTTGATTTGAGCTTGAGCTTGGGCCTTGATTTGAGCCTTGACCTTGCCCTTGATTTGGGGCTCAGTCTTGGCCTTTGCCTTGGTCTGTGGCCGGGACAGCCTGAGACCCCTAGCAATGCGGGCACAGGCACGCCTTCCAAGCTTGGGGTGGGCAATGTAGGCAAGCCGATCGAGCTTCTGGCTGACACCCTTTGGGATCGTGGGCTTTACTTCCTTAGGCTTGACCAGGGCCTTGATAGCTTCAGCACGCGCAGCCATAGCCTTGGCGTTGTTGGCCTGCATCTTCTTCAGGCCCTTCTTGTTGTGCTTCTTGACAAAACACATGTTCCTCAGGAACTTGGGGTCCACCCCTTTCAGAGACTCGTATCTTTGTGATCGCGGTTTCTTGATGCCATTTCTGTGCCATTTTCGGGACTGGTTGTGTGTGGTGTGGTTCTTGGACTTGGCCATGTCTGCACCGTAACCCGTGGCTGCCGGAAAGAGACCATTGTTCTAATAGTATTTTGTTTTTGATCTGTACTTATAACACCTCTATAAAATAATGTAAAATCCTGTAAAATACTCAAATTGCATGGGCTTGTATAGAGAGATAACACTGCACCAAAAATGTGGGTTGGCAGGGGGCCCCATGGTGCAGGAGCTGAAGCAGCCTTTTAATTCTAGATTCTCCTTTTCATATTCAAAGGCTGTGATTATGTGATCATATGTATCAACAACAAGTTGAGCCATTTATTGTTGCCTGAATGGTGTATGTAATACTTTAGAAACAAGCTGATATTTAGCCATATAACTGGAATTTGAAAAAAATTACATTTCATTACTCTGTAGAAAAATGTCTTATTGTCTATTCAAATTAGATTTGTTTGCTTTATTTTTTTTTAAATTCAAGAGGCAGAAACACAGATGTAGAAAACTCTCATCTCCTGGTTCACTCCCCAAATGCTTGCAATGGCCAGGGCAGTCCTGGGGCTGGGGCTGGATCTGGGAGCTGAGAACTGAGTATAGGTTTCCCACAGGGGTGGTGAGGACCCAACCACTTGAGCCATCACCTGCTGGAAACTGGGACTGGGAGTAGAGACAGGAACTGAGTTTGGTATTCTGATGTGGGCCATGGGTGGCTAAACTGGTGTGTTAACTGCTAGGCCAAATGCTTGCTGCCAAGTTAGGTTGTAATCAAATAGCAATATGTTTGGAATCTTCATAAATGAACACCATATAACTATCACTTATGAAAACAAAAAATAAAACTGTGCCTTTGTGATGGGGAGCTGAATCTTTGAGTTATGAGCAAATGACGACACTCCCTGAACTGCTGATTCTGCCTTGGAATCAAAAACTAAGCTCCCAGAAACAGGGTTATGTGTACACAGATATCTCACAAGTACTGGTACCCTGAACTGTTTCACAAAGGAATTAAGGTAGTTCACAAGAAAGTCACATGGAATACTAACCAATAAATACGAATATTTAGCAGAGAAAATGTAAGCACAAGGAATAAATCCAGCTAAAGAAAGAATAAAGTGTGCCAGCACTGTCAAGTAGAATTTTGTGCAATGCTGAAGTGTTCTATATTTAATTAATTGACGTTTAAATAGCCGCGTGTGTGTACTGCCTACCTTAGAGGACGGCACGAGTCTACATTGTTTTTGTAGTTGAGTCTCAACTTTGTGTCTAGAAATTAAACTGTCAGTTACACGGTTGTTGTCACTTAAAAATAAGACATACTTATCAACTTCATTCATTCATTCATTCATCCATTCATCTCCCGAATATTAATAGCTTGACAGAAGCAGAGCTTTTCCTGACACCCAGCTAAAAAGGACAATTTTCTGGGGACTTTATTATCAGGGCACCTTGGTATATTGTGTGAAAGTCTGTTCAGTTGAGGAATAGGGGCTGAAAGGAATACAGAGAGTGCATATCGCCCAATTGTATAACTCTCTTTAGGATTTTGAATAATTAAATGAAACTTTATAGAAAACTTTAAATATGTGGATAAGCGTAAAAGGAACTACATCACTAACAAGTCTACCACTCAGAGACATAATTACTGTGCATGTTCTGATGTCTGTCTGCAGACCTTTGCCCCAGGTAGCCTTTGTGTTTTCCTTGATAAGTTCCAGAATACGCAGCCCACTCCCTGGAAGGGAAGTCCATTCTAGGGGTGGAGGTTGCTTTCACCCTTACTGGGGGATCTCTCAGACCGGCAGCTGGCCACACCTGAGACAGCACACTCTCCCTCATCCTCCCCGGCACTTCCACCATGGGCCTGGCTCTGGAGCAGTGATGAGAGGTGCTTGGGACGGCCTTGCAGGAGGAAAGAAAGGGACATCACCACTGTGGTTCATTCCGATGATGCGTGATTCTGGCTTTCTCGGCCTTGGTGCTGTTGCTATTTGGGGCTGGGAAATGGTTGTGCATGTGTGGTGGGGCAGTGGGGTGATACCCTGTGCATTGTAGGGTGTTTTGTGGCATCCCTGGCCTCTGCCCACCAGATGCTGCCAAGCATGACCCTCAGAAATGTCAGGGAGAAGGACTGGTTTAATGGAAATTTCTGAATTATTGCTGACATGTTCTAACAAGTTTCAAATTCCAGTCTGCAAGTGGGAGAGAGATTGAAACCAAAAGAGTTGTGTAATATAGGCAAGGAAGCTCTTTACTCCTGGCTGTATTATTAATTTACTGTGAGATTTTGGTGGGCAACTATATCATTTAGGGTCCCAGCATGAAAGAGTATATGAATGAAGGGAATTTTTGAAGAGACTCTTCACTGAAGAGTGGGCAGCATTGGAGGAGCCAGCAAGGGATGGCCAGGCATGCCGGGAAGGGATTCGGTAGGCACTGTCCCTGTTCTAATCTGAAAGGGCAGGGAGGGGACTGTGCTACCAGAGTAGGGGAGGAGAGTGGAGCGCCGGCCCAGGTCTGCCATGGCCGTCACAGAGTGCAGCCTCTGCCACTGGACTAGGCAGGTGGGGCACAAGAACCCCAGCTCTCTCCTGTTCTCATCCACTGGCCAAACCCAAGCGGATGGTGAAAGAGCACAGTCAGCCAGCACAGGCCAGGAGCTGTGAACCACTAGAGAACCACTAGCAAGGACCGGGGAATTTGCATCTCTGTGGAATGAAGGTTGTTGGGCTCTGCTTCTTAAGAGATACTGTGGGAATAAAAGGAAATAGACAAACAGTGTTTTTTGTTGTTGTTGTTGTTGTTGTTGTTTTGACAGGCAGAGTGGACAGTGAGAGAGAGAGACAGAGAGAAGGGTCTTCCTTTACCGTTGGTTCACCCTCCAATGGCCGCCGCGGTCGGCGCATCGCACTGATCCAATGGCAGGAGCCAGGTGCTTCTCCTGGTCTCCCATGTGGGTGCAGGGCCCAAGGACTTGGGCCATCCTCCACTGCACTCCCTGGCCACAGCAGAGAGCTGGCCTGGAAGAGGGGCAACTGGGACAGAATCCAGTTGCCCGACCAGGGCTAGAACCCGGTGTGCCGGCGCCACAGATGGAGGATTAGCCTATTGAGCTGCGGTGCAGGCCAGTGTTTTTAAAAACGAATCATGGGGTGGGTTCTGTGGTGTAGCGGATAAAGCTGCTGCCTGCAGTGCCAGCTTCTCATGTTGGTGCCTGTTCGAGTACCAGCTGCTCCACTTCCAATCCAGCTCTCTGCTATGGCCTGGGAAAGCAGTAGAGGATGGCCCAAATCCTTGGGCCCCTGCATCAATGTGGGAGACCCGGAAGAAGCTCCTGGCTCCTGGCTTCAGTTCAGCCCAGCTCTGGCCATTGTAGCCATTTGGAAGACCTCTTTCTCTTTCTGCCTCTGCCTCTCTGTAACTCTGCCTTTCAAATAAATAAATAAATATTTAAAAAGAAATAAATAAATCACACACACATTGGACCAGTGTTCCTTTTGAGTGCTGGCTCTATTTCATGCAGGGATGGTACATCATTCTGTGTGTAGCTGCTGTAGAATGTCTTTAAATTTTTATTTATCCTCCCTGTTTGAATTCACTCATGCTACTTCGTACATTAAGACAAATATTTGCTGTTGCCTAAGTAAATGGTTGCATATCTTATATACTTTGGACTTGTAATTTTCCTTGAAGTTTAAGCATGTCTGTTTTATCTATCACAAAAAGTCGTATCAGAAAACTTTCAATTTGGAAAGGGCTTTAAAATTTCTTACCTGAGATCTTATGAAAACTGCATAGGAAAAATAAAAGAATGAAAGAATATAGTATGCTCAGTGTAGAAAATAATAGAATTAATATCATTAATATTGAGGACACTAAAAACCAATTGTGAATCTTGATTGATTTGCTGAGAAAAGAAATCTTTAAAACCTTAACTGGGGTGGATGTTTGGCCTAATATTGGGTAGGATTTATTTAGGGTGCCTGTGTCTCACATTGGCGCGTCTGAATTCATTTCCCAGTTCTGACTGCTGATTCCAGCTCCCTGCTGATAACAGGAAGCAGAGGTTCTGGTGGCTCAAGTAATTAGGTTCCTGCCATCCATGTAAGAGGCCTAGACTGAGTTTGCAGCTCTGGCCTAGCCCTAGCCCAGGCCCAACTTATCAGTATCCGGGGAATGCACCAGTGCATGGGCACTCTCTCTCTGTCTTGCTGACACTGACATAAATTAAAAAAATTCTACAAGCATTAGTGTTGAACTTTTAAAATGTTACAAACAGAAGTTAGATCTACAGATATTTTGCTTGTCTGGAAAATTTGTATTCATTTGGCTGCCCACTGTGAGTTATGCTAGGTACAGTCACCCATTCCAGTGGTTCATGGTTTCCCATTGGCTCAGCTAAGAAGATGATAGGAGTGATAGGAGACCAAGTTGAGATCTAGATCCTCTAGGAGGTCAATGCCTAAGAACATGAATGGGGCCCAAGAATGTCCTGACCTCATTTCAGTTTGAAAACTGAGTTGCAATTCTACAATTCATGAGTTGATAAACTCTTTTTTACATGAATGAAAGTTCCTTTTTTTTTTTTTTTACAGGCAGAGTGGACAGTGAGAGAGAGAGAAAGGTCTTCCTTTTTGCCATTGATTCACCCTCCAATGGCCGCCGTGGCCAGTGCATCGTGCTGATCTGAAGCCAGGAGCCAGGTACTTCTCCTGGTCTCCCATGCAGGTGCAGGGCCCAAGGACTTGGGCCATCCTCCACTGCACTCCCGGTCACAGCAGAGAGCTGGCCTGGAAGAGGGGCAACCGGGACAGAATCCGGCACCCTGACCGGGACTAGAACCCGGCGTGCTGGCGCCGCAAGGTGGAGGATTAGCCTATTGAGCCGCGGCACTGGCCGACATGAATGAAAGTTTAAATATGCTAGATGTTTATTCCTTAGGAAGAGTAATTTACTTCATGTAATTTCATTTCTCTCCTACTATATCAAGATCCCTTTCAATGAAAGGTGAAAGCTTTTGAGATGATCTTGAGGAAGGGTAGTGGGAACGTGGAGCAGGTGGGAGGGGCTGGGGAGGCAGGGTGGGGAAGA